GTCAAGTTGTAAAGAAAAAACAATATTAGTGTGGTTAGTTACAGAGTGCGATTGCACGCCATTTCTGACCAAGCTTGAGTATATTCTGTAGACATTAGTTTGAAAACAAGCAGCTAAATTGTTTGATTTATTTTTACATTTTGAACTGTAAGTTCAATGTATTTTGTGTGATCCAGGATGTAGCTTATGAAATTCTTGATTTTTCATTAATATAAAATTTATATTGAGCAACAATTTTGCATAGTATAGTTTATATTATCTTTGGCTTGCCTTACCTGATTAAAAATGTTGATAATATTATTTTATATAAAATTTATATTTTTTTTTAATTAGAATTTTGGTTATTATGTTGCTTTTTTTTTCTGTTTTAATAATTTTTTTTTTTCAAATTGATTTAAGATTAATAATAGTAAAAATATTTCAATTATAAAAAGTTGTAGCTCAAGTCTACATAATATTAGGTTTATTTATTGACTTTTAAATTAAACTTTAAGTAATATTCTAAACCTGGTGTAGGTGCTAATGAATTTCATTTAACTTCATTAATTAAATTTAAACAAAGCCGAATTCTGGATACTTGTTTAACTTTAGTTATAAAGTTGATTAAATATCTTTATTTATTAAATTTTGATTACGAAGATTAACCAATTTTTGGTTGTTATAAATCTCAATAAGTATACTATTTGCTATTTGTTTTGCTCTTTGTTAAAATACATTTTAAAGCTCAAGCAAATAATTTAAAAGAAAACACTAAATAGTATTTAATAAGGTAATATTTATTAGTTCTTGTTTTTTGTTTTTATATTATTTTTTTATTAACAAAAATTTAATATCCCTCCTTTGACCATATTTTTATTTAAGTGAAACTATAGTTATTACAGTTATTTTTATTTGCTTTTCATTTTCACTATTAATTTTTAATAATAATAGATGAGGAATTTCTAGTTTTTTTCCTCGAACATCAGTTCTTTGGAATTCGCTTCCTTCATCTTGCTTTCCTGATTCATATAATTTGCAATCTTTTAAGTCATCAGTCAATCGTTATCTTGCTCTACAGATTTAGTCTTTTCTCTTCCAGTAACTTCCAACTCTTATAGTGGTTGCTTGCAGCCTTGTTGGAAGTGAAGATGTTTAAAAAAAAAAAAAAAAAAAAAAAAAAATTTTTATTAATACTATTATTTTTTATTAATACTATTGTTTTTTATTTACACTGTTATTATTTTATGTTAATATTTCATTTATTAATTTTTCAGCATTTTGTTATACGTAATATAATTTACATATATCCAAAACAAAAATGTAAAAGTGTGTCAAATTACTTTTATTTATTTATCCTAGCTGGTTCTGAATTAGTTTTGAATAATAAATTAAATTATTTAAGGATTTTTTATTTCCACAGATATAGAATTCATTTTTTGCTGAACCTACAGCATAAAAAACACGGTAATCACATAAAGTTTTTGTATTTGTGAGGAAATATGAATATATTATGCCTTGTGTCATTGATCCTTGGTCCACACTGACAATGAAATGCCAAGTTTTTTTTTTAATGTTTAATGTCAAAAGATGTTTATTGAGATTTTTGTCTTTTTTTTTTTTTTTAATTTAGTGTTTACACTGTAAAGTTAAACTAACAAGAGATATCTTGTTTTTTATTTCTTTTTTCTTTTTTTTTAAATAACCTTATATGACACCTATCCAAACAACATATTGAACTCTTTGAAACCTATCTTTATTAATTTATTGAACTCTTTGTAAAAAGAAAAAGAAATTAAAAAATATGTTATTTTGTTAAATGTAAAATGTAAAAAGCAATTAAAAGTATCATTTTTTTGAAAATTTTAAATAATTAGTTTTAAAAAAATAATTAAATTCTAATTTGATTTTTTAAACAGAAATCTTTTTCTCTATATGCATTTGATTTGGAATCTGCTTAAAAGATTTGCATTAAAATTTCCTTTTGAATTTCAAACAAGATAATATTCAATTTTGTGAACTTGTTAAAAAACATTGTGAAAAAATTTAAATATTGGACTGCTAAATTATGGCTAATAAGAAACTGTTTAAACAAAAATGTTTTTCCTCTCCTCCATTAACAGTCTCTGATAACCAGAGAGATGGATTTAATCACGTTTTTTAACACACAGCATAAAAACATGGAATAGTGACTTATAACAGGGTTTATAATAAATAAAGGCATTAATAACCATGATAAAGGAAAATGTACATAAAAATGTTTGATAAAAAATTGAAGTATTTTAAAATTATTCTTTCTTGATCTTCAATCAGTATAAACTAATAAAATGTTTTTTACTTAATTTAAAATACAACAATTTGTTTTCTTTTTTTAGAAAAAAAATTTCCACATGCACCTTAATATTCTTTTAAAAAAAGTTTTTGAAATGAATCTTGAATTAAAAAGAAAATAAGATTCAAAATGTGACTACAACTTTTTAAAAAACATTATAGTAGCACTTTGAAATGTTTTAAATCATGTGCATGTCTAATTTAATTCAAGTGGGCTTTTTCTTGTTAGGTTTAGTAAAATTATATATTGCAACAAAGTGTATACTTTACATGCTTTTTAAGGTTTTTTTAAAGAATAAAATCTTCATAGTTCAAATTAATAACCATTTTTTCATTGTAAGTAATAACTGTTTGCTTACTTGCTAAGCCTTTGACTGTTATTTTTTTCTAAATTTTAGTCACCCTTTGCAAAGACAAATTGTTCCATACCATAGATGAATTAGGCTCACTCTCAGCCTACTTGATTGCAAAGTTGTTGAACTTGCTAAATATTTTCAAAGAGAAATGAGCCATTATAAAAAATATGCTATGAGGAAATGTTAGTTTTTATGACATGTTATATAGATATTTAACATGAGTTCTTGTTAATGGCCAGTGAAATTATGATTTTTAGTATAACTTTTTTTATATAACTTTAAAAAATGTATCTTGTATAAAAGTTTCCTTATATAGCTGCACACTATAGTTTCCTTATATAGCTGACACTTTAGAAAAATTAATTGCAAACTTATTCAACTGCAAATAAAAATTAAGATAGCGGCTAAATAAAACCAAAATATTAACTTTTGTAGTTTATGTTGTTGACATTTTCTGATTCAGAAAATGAGGAGAGTGGCTATCCAATTGCAAAGCAAAGACAGAACTTGTTTATGATGTATGAAAAGGAGATTTAAGAAAACTCTTTTGAAAAACAAATGCAGAACCAATTTGGTATAAATTTCAACACTAAAAATAATTCCAAAGATTTGGTCAGTTTTCAAGAACAACTTCACAACATATTTAGTCTATTATTACAGGTGTTCACTAATAGTTCCAATTTTTCTAAATTTAATGCTGTTTCTGCAGCACTAAGTGTTTTGAGCAAAAATGATGAATAGCATACTTGTATACTTTTGGCAAATTTTAAATATAATACTTGCTACTTTAAAAATATAATTCAGTTAAGACATTCTGTTATTCACATTAGTTCTCATTATTTAAAAGCAATCTGTTGTAAAAATATATTCTATATTCACTTTGAAAACAGCCTGCTGCAAAAATAAATTCTATATTCGCATTGAAAGCAGTTTGTTTCAAAAATACATTCTATATTCACTTTAAAAGCAGTCTGTTACTAAAATACATTCTACATTTATTTTGAAAGCAGTCAAGTACTGTCGAAAAATAGCAAAAATGTTTTTTAGCTCTGGTAATAACTTTTTTGTTTGTTTAACTATATAAATTTTTCTTTTTTACCAATAATTCTGCATTTTCTAGAAAACGAAGGTCACACTCCCCAAAAAGAGAAAGAAAATCAGACAGGCGCAAAGATAGTAATAAGATTCCAGAGTCTCCTGAAGTTGGAAAGGTTAAATTTGTATTACATTTTAGTGTAACTAATAATTATATGCTAATACAATTACGTAGTGTGCTTGTATACTTTTTGTTGATTTATTTTATAATACTTTTTTATATATAAAAGTAATTAAGTTAATTATTGAAAAGTGTCTTAAAAATACATTTAACAAACTTAAAACAAAGTTTTAATAATTTGATAAAAGTAAGGTTTAAATTTTTTTTTTTTTTATTTATGTTAGATATATGATGGGAAAATTACAAACATTATGCAATTTGGTTGTTTTGTTCAACTTTTTGGTATTCGCTCACGTGTTGAAGGTCTGGTTCATATCTCCCAGGTAAATTTAAAAAGTTTTATATGTAAAATTTTTTAATGAGTCTAATTTAAGTTTAAATTTAGCTGTTAAAAATTTATTAGTTATATTAGTGTTTTTTTCAAAATGTTTTAAAACCATTTCTAACTACCACAACATTTATAGTGATATTTTGTTTGTTCATCTCTATTTTTCATAGAAGATATTTGAAAAAAATGTTTTAAGAGATCTTTTTTTATTTAGCACTTAGGAACAGTCAAAGTAAAAGGGTGAGAACTTAATTGAATGAGTAACACAATAATGAGATTTAGTAGATAGCACAAAAGATGCTAGCTATTTAGAGCAGCAATCATTATAGTTTTTATAGAAATAAGAAAGAGAAGCAACATTATGACCATAAATACTTTTGCAAGACTAGAACAGGTAGAAGCTGAGCACTGACTAGGATCAGAAACAAGACACAAGTTGTATAGAGAAGGTAAATGATTAAAATTGTCTGAAAAGTGAATTATAAAATTAACTATTTGTGTTAGAGATTGAGAAAGGCAAAAGTTGTGGGCCTTAACGCCTGCAGTCACTGACACTAGAACCAAGTCATTTAGTGTGATATGCAAGCTACTAACAACATTTTTGATTTTTGATCAGATATAGCATCAAAAAGAGTGCAATCTTCAGACCAAGGAGAGAGATATAGAATAAAGAGAGAGGGTATATACTACCAGCAGGCCTCAGAACCATATAACTGAGCTTGTTTTTAGGAGATAATAGAATGAGTTGCCTAATCATAAAAACAAAGAACCAAGCAAAACCCATGCATTGAATCAAGAAGATTCAGCATTCAAGATCCTAATCTGTAAACAATGTAAAAAAATACATCTAATAGATGAAGAAGGGGTACAAAGATGGTTAACAGATAAAATCTTTTTTGTGTTTATTTTGTTATTTTATTTGTGTTTATTTTGTGTAACTTTGGTTAGAGTAGTTAGTAGTTTTGAAAATTCTTTTTTTAGTTTTTTTGTATTTTTTGTGTTTAAAATTAAATAGGAAAAAATAAAAAAAAAATAATAATTTAAATAATTTGTGTACTATTTTTGTTTTTGTTTCATTATAGTGGTTGCTATTTTTAGCAACGAAATTCAGTATTTTTACACTTTTTTAAGCGCTAAAAGTAAACTTAGGTGTATCAAATTACATTAATAATATTTGAAAAAACCAGTTGTTGTTTTAAAATACAAGAAGTAATTATAATTTTGTTTTCAACCATTTTTAATTTTTTTTGTTGAGTTTTTATATGAAAAGCCATCTTGCCCTTTTTTCCCCTATAAATACATGTGTGTGTGTGTGTGTGTGTGTGTGTGTGAGTGTGTGTGTGTGTGAGTGTGTGTATATATATATATATGTATATATATATATATATATATATATATATATATATATACACACACACACACACACACACACACTTACTAAAGCATATTTTTATAAGCATTTGCTCACTTTTTTGCTTACCTTAACCTATACGGCTTTTTTAGAAAAATAAGAAAAAAACGAAGAATAATGAATGAAGCGATTGCTGCCCCATCCCAAACCCTCAGTTAATGTAGCAGCACTCCACTGCGAGTCAGGCTATTTGTCAGTCGATGTATGTACTGAATCCCCCAGCAGCAGGCTATTTCAGTATGACGTCAGATTGCTTACCTTAGTACGAAATATTATTTGTATATATATGTGTACATATATATAAATATATATATATTTTTTTTTTTGCAATTATAGAACTTTTTAATAAGTAAGTACTGCCTACTCAAACTCTTAGTTAATGTGTATACAAGAATAATAATAATAATTAGAATAAAAATAAGAATAATAATAAGAATAATATGTTCTGTAAACTTTTTTTTGATGTGTTCAGTGATGTTTTATGAGCACAGTAAATAATTAATGTGCGTAAATGTCAACTTGATATTTATCGTGAAAAATCTAAGTCTTTTAAACAAGTTTATAAAACTCATGAACACTTTTTTGTAGTATTAAAAATTTTTTTTATATAAATAGTTGCGCAAAGAAGGAAGAGTAAATGATGTTAAGGAGGTGGTTACAAGAGGTCAGAATGTAAAAATTAAAGTTCTTTCTATTGCTGGAAAAAAGATCAGTTTATCAATGAAGGTAAATTTTTTGAATAATGCAGTAGTTATTTTTATAGGTTTTTTACTGGAGAGAATTTTTTTATTTTTCATGAAATTGAAAATAGATAATCTATAATTTTTTATAGGATGTTGATCAAGCTACAGGTGAAGACTTAAACCCTGGTCAGGGTATTCGTCTTCCAGTTAATAGTGAAGTTCCATTAAGGAATCCTGATAGGTGAATATTTTTAAAAAAATTTGTTTTATAAATGGTCTAAACTTCTAAACATTTTATCTTTCTTTTTTTAAAGACGTTTTAAAAAATTCTTTTTTATATTGGGTTATTAGTGAGTTTCCATATGCAAATTTTAGTTGTAAATTTTAATCAAAAATGATATCTAGCAAAGATAAATCAAAGCTTATTATTTGTTTTGCTATTATTATTTACTAGTGAAAATCAAATAAATAAAATCTATGTGTTTCATGTTTGTGACAAATTTTAAAAGTAGATTTGTTTAAAACTTATGATTCGTTTAAAACACTTTTAACTATTTAAATGTATACTTTATTTTGTTTGATAACAACATGTGTATTTTCACTGCTAAAATTTATCACTTGACAGGATTAAATAATCAATAGCAAATATTTAAAACTCAATTAAAGTTATTATCAAATAACAAATAAAATGAACAACGTAAAACAATTAAATTCAAATAAATGTCTAAAAATAAAAAATTGTATTTTTTCAAAATTTACTACTACTAAAGTGTTAGTAGTACTACTCTGCAACGAAGAATAAAAAAACAACTTATTAAAAACTGATAAAATTAATATTTAAAATTCAAAACAACTTAAATTCAAGACAAATTCTCTCAACAAATATAAATAGTATTATGTGTAACAAAAACCTATTTTTTTAAAACTTATCTATTAAAAGATATAACAATGTAAAGTTTATTGTAAATCACAAATTCAAGTTTTAAAATAAAATCTTTTTTAAAAGATGCCTTTAGAAAAATGCATAAATTAAGCAAATATTATAATTTCTATAAACAAGTTTAATTCAAAAGATATTTAAAGTGTTTAAAATCTTCAAGTTGAAAGGTTCTCCAAGTTGTATCTTTAAGTTTCAATTTTTTCTTTTAATTTTTTCAGAGATATTAATACTCAGTTCCCATCTCTTTTTATAATAATTTTTTTCAACACCATTTATTTTAAAACAAAAAAACTGCAAGATTAATTATTTTTAAATCACATTTATTTTCATTTAAAGTTTTTAATTCTAAACCCCAGATCATTTTTTAATTTCTATAAAAAATCAGCAATTTATGAATGTTTTGCAATTTAAGAATGAACAGTAAGTTTTTGTAACTTATTTATTAGAGTATTAATGAAGCTACTTGTGATTTCTGTTAAACTTACTAGCTCAGATTGGTCTGTTGTTTTCCGTTGTTAGTAATCTATACATAGTAATCATTATATTCATCAATATCGTCTTGAGAGTAGAACTCATTTTCATGATAATTACTTTATATAGAAACTTCTGGAGAAAAAGGGCAACAATTTATCATGCAATTATTGTTAGCCCTACTACAAACAAGCATATCAATAAGTTCATGATGAACCTTTGAAACTGCACTAATCATTAACTTAACATTTTAATAGTAGGAACGCATACCAGATGGTCTTACTGTAATGCACCATTAGGATGATTTGAGCAAAAGTGAGAAAAACAAATCTTTATATTAGGATAACTGGTTTTAAACTTACCATACAGTAAATATGCATTACAAATGAGATATTTCCTTCCTTTTTTTTTTTTTCAGGAAAAGATAAAATATCATTTTCCAGCACCAGTTTGTGTGATATCTGTACCATATAATTAGTAAAATTAAATTCTTTTTCTATACATTTAAAATTTAACATTTTTACTTTAATTTTTCCTAATAGTATATGTTTCTCCATATCATTTGCTTTACATTTAACTTCCTAAGATAATTTATTGAAGATATCTTCTTGGCTTAACTGATAAGGATCTTTATTTAAAGTCCTTGCTATACCTAACTTTAAAGTTTTTTGAACATGTCATGGTTTCTTTTTATCAAGAGTAACTCTTGAGTGACTATTTACAGCATGGGTTTTGAGAGGAAATAGAATTGAGATTTAAAAAGTTCATTATCTTTATCTTCATAAATGTGGCTATAAGTCGGTCCTCCTGGTCCATCATCCTTAAATGACATTAGTTTAATTATATATTATGAACATATTCTCCAGGAATAACATTAATACCAATGCTTTTCCATTTCCTTGCAAGTTGTTTATTAATTTCTTTACATCCTTCTAAAAGGATGTAAAGAAATTAATAAACGTGAGTGATAATTACTACTTCAGTGAGTATTTTGCCAAAAAACTAGTATATATAATTACAATAAAGTTTAAAAAAGCTGCACGGTTAAGTAATAATACCTTTTCTTTTTTTTCCATTGTATGAATTTCCATTGTATGAATTTTCTTCTTTTTCCATTGTATGGATCATAGCAAGTTATGTGGATTGTGGATTGTTTTAAGTAAACATATTCATGGAAGCAAACCATTACATTTTCATCAATTTCAATGAACGACTAATTATTAAGTCTTTTTCTACATCATCGAGACTTTTCTTGAGACTACATCATCGAAATTTTCTTGATATCATCGGATTTCATACCATATTTGATATCTTGATTTCCATATCATTTTTGATATCATTGGATGTTTGTTTGTGACAATTTTATTTATTAATCCAATTCAACATTTTTTTTTTTTTAATCATTGTTTTTGTATTACTTTTTTAGTTTTGTAAGAAATAATTTTAAAATAATTATTTGAAGATTCGTAAATAGATTTGTAAAGGTTGTATAATGTGAAGATCTTTAATGTGAAATGCAAACAAGTTTAAACAGTACCCGAGATTCTAAAAATTAAAAAAAAAAAAAAATCAACAAAAAAAATGTATACAATTTTTTTTTTTCATTATTAAATAACAATTTTTTCTTAATTTTTTTGTAAAACTTTTAATTCAAATAAATCAAATTCAAAAGGGAAAACCCTGCAGTTTTTTTGTAATAAGGAGTTTGTTATATATAGAACCATATAAAAAATCAGAACATCTTTTAAGATCATATCTTTTAGACATCTTAAATTAAATCTTTTAGACATCTCAATATATACATCTTTTTGTACGGGCCATCAAAAATTTATAAAAAATTTTTCATAGAGAAGGTATAATTTTTTAGTATTTTAGGTATCATTTTTGTGTTCCTCTCCCTTAAATATAGTTAGGTACAAATTTTCAACACTATTGAGCAAGTATTTCATAAGTTAAAGCTAATTTTGATATGTATTTAGCTTAAAAAATAAATGGTCCTGAAAAAAAAAATCGAAAAAAATATTAGAACTGAGTATCATTATCTCTGAACCTTAAAGAGTCAGACACTAAAATTTGTAGTGAAGTTTTTTTTTCATTAATATAAGCTTGTATTCCAAAAATCATCAAAATCTGAGATAGCATGGTGGTGAGCATAAATTGAATATGCTGGAATGATCCAGTAGTTAAGAGCCATTTTCTGAGAAAACCAGGTAATGCTCAAAAGTGATATTTTTCAATCACTCTCAATTTTTTATATAGTAATACTAATTGGGTAAGAAAAATATAAATTTATTTTTCTAAATATTTCTGGTTATGATCCTGAGTTTTGGTCAAGCTTTTGACCTTTTAATACTTTAACAGACACAATTTAAAGGCAATAAGAAAATTACATCTTAAGTTTGTTTTTATATTAGAATAGTATATGTTAAACTTTCAAGAAAGATAATAAAATAAACTAAGGAAAACTTTTCTTAAGTCAAAAAATTATAAGCTGAAATTAAAAACTTTTGAATTTAGGGCTTATTTTAAATATTTTTATTTCAAAACATAAAAAGTTCCCACATAATAATTTATTGTTTTTGGAAAAACTATTCCATTGTACTTTAAATAGTTTTAAAAAATGAGGTGGTATTGCTTATAAACTGTCAAAAGTTGTTTTAACTAGCGTTCAAAAATCAGCCATTATGAGAAGTGAGAAAGGTTTTAAAATTGAATGTATAGATTTTTGATTACTCTATAACATAATTGTTTTAATGCAAAAAAAATTTGGGGGGTAATATTGTAATATTGAAATAACATTGCGTCAAAATATTTTTTTTTTTTTTTACAATTGTAGACATTTTAAACCTAATGTTTATTAGTTTATAAACAGTTTTAATTATTTTTAATCATTATTTCTTTATTTACAATTATTTAGTTTGGTTTATTGAGCATTTAGTTAATTATTTCTGAATTGTTTAGAATAGAGCCTATCTTAATGCCGACATTGGATTGAGCTCTGGTGTGTTCAAACTAAAACAAGTACTATCGCTACCAAAAATTTAGTTGAAAAAAAATTAAAGTTGACTCAAATGCTAAAAATATTTTGTGCAATTTTACAAAATGAAAAAAATATCTTGTCCAGTTTTAAGTACCAAAATGCGTCATACAATTGTGTTTTATAATTAAGTTTGCAGAAGCGAGAATTAATATCTATAATCCGATAGCAGTTTATAAAAAGAAAATGCTTCATGCAATTAAAATATCTTAACAAAATTTTTTGGCAGTACTCTATGATATTACTGCTGTAGATATAAATAGTTGCTCTATGTTGCAAAATTTATCTTTGAAGTTCAAGGACAAAAAGTAGAAATGTTTGAAAGCATTGAAAATAATATGTTTGAACTTTGATAGGATATTACAAAACTAATTTCTAGTTATACTGAAGTGTGACCTTTATTCTCCCACTGACCAATATTTGATTTAAATGATTTTACTAATTTGAACAAATTTCAAAAGCAATTAATGATATGATTTGTAATGGTTGTAAAATTTTAGGCCAATCCTTTGTTGAACTAAAAAGATTAGCATCAGATAGGTTAACTGACATGGATGCGTTTTATGATAATTAAAAATTGCTGAGGAAGATATAAGATTCAGAAATATTTTATTATTATTAATTATAAAAAAATTTATTGTGTGATTGTCTGCAAAAAAAATTTGAAGTTTTTGCTTTAAAAAGCCTTGATGAAAAATCTTGATTTTGGTTGGAAAAATTGCCAAAATGGTTGCAACCATTGCCAAAATGTTTTACTATCTTGAGATTATAAATGAGTACTTGATTTTCATTCAGTTTGAAAATAAGAATTTTTCGAACATTAAGCAAACATTTTGGTTGTTACTAAAATTTGAATAAAATTTACTTTTGTTAGATGATAAGGTGAGCTTTATAAAGTCTAGTTTTGGAGTCAAGAATCATTTTAAGTGCTTCTCCTGATGTTATTAAATACAAACCCATGAAATCATTTATGAAATTTCACCACTTTAAAACCGTATAGAGATTATAAGCTCATAGAAAGCAGAGGTTGAAAAATGAATTACAAGCAACAATTTATTAAAATAAAAAACATAAAGGGTATATAAACCAATTTATGACTCATCTCAATGACATAGATAGAAATTTCAAGCCTTGTGCAACTCTAAACTTAAGTATGTTATGCATATGTCAAATAAAAAAATTAGGCAAAAAATTGCAGTAATTTGGTTAATGAAATATTTTTGTTACTATTTCCTACTAAGTTAAAGTTAATCAACAGGCTTCAAATTTAATTTAATAACCATTAAGTGTTCGAAAGTTATAATCATGCAAAGTTTATAACCCCCTCATTTTGAAGAGGACAGAAACATGATTGTAACTTTCGAACACTAAAAGATTATTAGATGAAATTTAGAACCTTCTTGCTACTACCATTATGTCTTCTTCTTGCTACAGTCATTTATTTTTTATATTTTTATATATTGTAAACATTTTTTAATGGTGAATGTTAACTAAACTAATGACCACAATTTTTTACAAAGCTTTCTCATTTGACATAAGCATGAACATATTTATGTTAGGAGTTTGCATAATTCTTGAAAATATCATTTTAAAAGGATCTACTGACTAATACAATGACTAAAAAAAAATCAGTAATTCCATTGTATTTTTTTTTTAATATATGAAAAGTTTAACTTTTCGATGGAGTTGTTTCAACAATCAAATTACCCTTTAATTTTTTTTTTCTTGTATTTAAAGTTTGGTATTATGGAGTAGTAGAAAATCTATACATTTAGTCATAGGACATTTCCCATTTCTCATAATGGCTGATTTTTGAATGCTAGGTAAAACAGTTTTTAATAATTTGATGGTTCAAATAATTTTGTAAGCAATATCCTCAACTTTTTTTTAAACCATTAAAATTACAATGAGATTTGGACCTTTCTAAAAACAATAAAATACCTTGCAGAAATCTTTTATGTTTTGAGATAAATGTATTTAAAGTAGGCTCCAATTTCAAAAATGCATGATTTCAGCTTATGATTTTTAGACTACGGAGGGGTTTTCCTCAGATTTTATGATTTTTTTTATTTTATAAAAGTTTTATCTATACATCCCTAATATAAAAACAAACTTAGGATGCAATTGTCTCATTGCCTTTAAATTTAATTTAAAAATCACTCAATCTAAATAATGATTCTCCAAGTGTTAAAAGGTCAAAAGTTTGACTGACCGTAACTCAGGAGCTATAGATATTTAGAGATCTTTCTTACCCAATTAGCATTTCTTTATAAAGAGCATTATTGAAGGATATAACTTTTGAACCAACAGCAAGTAATTTTTTTTTAAAGCATTGTGTAAAATGTGGACATTTTTTTTGTTAACATTGTTAAAATGTAAACATGGTATATGTTATAAAGTATTCTTTCAAAGGTTTTTTATGCAATATTTTATTTGTTTTAATAAAATTTTTAAATACAATAATTTTTTTAATAGTATATTAAAAAAATTATTTTGCATGGTAATCACAAAGTTTTTCCCATAAACTGTTGTTTTAAAGAGCGCGTTAATAAGCCTGACCAGAAAATATTAAAAAACTTTGAAAAAAAAATTTTTTTCAAATGATAGACTGCCTGCCCAAACCAAACCCTCAGTCGATTTAGCAGCACTCCTTTGCGAGTCAGGCTATTTGTCAGTTGGTGTAGCAACACTCCCTTGCGAGACAGGCTATTTGTCAGTCGATGTAGCAGCACTCCGTTGCAAGTCAGGCTAAAAGATTGTCGATGTAGCAACACTCCCTTGTAGCAGCAGGCTATAAGATAGTCGATGTAGCAACACTTAGGCATGTTTTAAAAATGTTTTTTAATAAAACAAAAACAAAAACACCACTAATTAAAAAAAAATTTCTTATGTATTTATATATGTATGTATATATATATATATATATATATATATATTTGTATTTGTATATATATATATATATATATATATATATATATATACATATATATACTTTGTATATATATATATATATATATATATATATATATATATATATATATATATATATATATATATATATATATATATATATATATATATATATATATATATATATATATACATATACATTTATATATATATATAATTAACATATATAATATTGTTATATATATATATATATATATATATTTATATATATATATATATATATATATATATATATATATATATATATATATATATATATATATATATATATATTGTTAATTCACATCCCTAAAGCCAAGAAGGCCACTACAGTCGAGAAGGCTACTTTAATTGTGGTTACAACTCTCTCTTAACTCTATAATTCCAAAACATGAATCTTGACGAACAAGGTTGCTATGCAGAGAAACAGGTTGAACGCTGTACTACCAGGGATGTGGTGGGGATGGAACTTGGAACCTCCTAAAAATAACATTTTATATAAATTTTACTAAGGTTCTATATGAAATGATCTACAATTCAATCTAAATTTAATTTTTTTAGACCTTCTACTACAACAGCTGTTCCAACATATGAAGAATCAATAGATGATAATACAAGAAAAAAGTTTAAAAGGATTTCTTCTCCAGAGCGATGGGAAATCAAGCAAGTATGTTATTTTGTTTGTAATTACGCAAATAGGAATGAGCGGCTGCGTAATTATCGATTATTTTTTTTTATCTTTTTTTTTAAGTGAAATAAAAACATTTTGCTTGTGTGATGAGTCGTTGATAATTTAGTTAATATCAGCTGGTGTGCTAGACAAGGCTGATTATCCAGATTTTGATGAAGAAACTGGAATTCTACCAAAAGAAGACGATGAAGGTAAATTTACTATGATTAATTTTACTTAAGAAGCAGAATAAACAGTTTCATTTGATTTTAAAAATTAATTCAACTCAGAAAATAAAATCTTGGAAAAATATAATTCTGATTTTATTTTTGTTAGAAATAGTTTTTACTTTATGATATTGTGTTATTAGATGATGAAGTGGAAATTGAATTAGTAGAAGAAGAGCCTCCATTTTTACAAGGACAAACTAAACTTACAATCAATGTCAGTCCAATCAAAATTGTTAAAGTAAGTAGGTTGTTTCATTTTGATAATACTTAAATATTGTATAATTGTACTAATGGATTAAACCAATTTTTTTAATTGAAATTTTCTATATTTAAAAAATGTATAAGTTTTTGTGTATTTTTAAAGAAAACATTTTACATATTGATAAATGTTAAAAATTATTTATTAGAATCCTGATGGTACACTTCCTCGTGCTGCAATGATGCAGTCCGCACTAGCAAAAGAAAGGAGAGAGATAAAACAACAAGAACGAGAGGCTCACACAGAAAGTATTCCAAAAGATATCGCAAAAATGTGGATTGATCCTGTTCCACAATGTAATTTTTTATTTTTTAAGTAGTTATGATAAGTATGAGTAAACACCGACCCTCGTAATTTTCAAGGGTTGGCATTCGGCAACACCTAAAAGTATTTGAGGTCAGCAAAAAATTAGGGACCTTGTTTCTATGTTTTAAGGTAAGACCTTTGTATCAAATTTGTTTTGGAGACCTGATGTCAACCTTGAAAAGATTAAGGTTGGCAAATTATTACCAACATTTTTCCTAATTCCAAAGGTTGGTAAACACAAATTATATTTACTCAGAGTTTTTAAAAAGTTTACTTACAGTGTTACCTTTTAGTAGTAATATTTTAGAGTAGTAGTTAAAATGTTATCTTAGAGCTAGTATTTTGCAGAGAATGCTAGGAAGAGTATCCTTATTGTAAAAAGTGCCTTTAACTCATCCATAATGTCATATCAAATGAAAAAATAGCATTATGGAAACCAGTTCAAGACACACAAGTTTAGAATCAATAGGGTTGGTGTATAATGAAGTACATTTACGTTGTTTTTTTTGTTTTTTTTTGATACAGTACTTCTACATGTAACAAGTTTACAATGCAGTAATTTTATTTTTGTTACTTTTCAGGTTTACTTTTTTACTTATTAAAAAAATTTTTCTAGAAAAAAAGTATAAAAGTACTTTTTTTCTGGAATTTTCATTGGTTTCAATTATTTGTATAATACCCACAATATCACAAAACCAAAATTGGTACAGCTTGGAAAACCTTACAAAAATGTTTATAAAACACAACTTTGCTATTACACTTTTCCCCGATATGCATGCCACCCAATGAACTTAATAGCTACCATTAATGTTGCAACTGCTAACTATGATGCCGCCTTAAATTTAAAAATTTTAAAAATTGTTAAATTTTTAAAATTTTTAAATTTAAAATTAAAATTAAATTTAAAATTAAAGTTAAATTTTAAAAATTGGTTAACGTTAAAAAAATGTCAGGTGCTATGAATCAAACAGTTAGAAAGTAATACATCTACAGAAGTTATTAATAAATCATTAGTTTATTATAACTGTAGTTTGTTGTTCCTAATTAAATGAGTTAAAATTCAATGTACTTGTCTGTGAATTGAATGAACAGGCTGATAACTGATAAGCAAATCAATGTGATGAATGTTGTTTTCAGACAAGCATTTGCCATAGTTTCCACAAGCTGAATTAGCATTTATTGCAGTATATGTCCCTTGTATAATGCATCTAATGCTCAAGCATTAGATTCCTGCAGTGTGAAACAAAGATTTATATGGAATACCTGCTGCCAACTACAATAACATTTAAAGAAAAAATGCAATTTCTTCTTTGCAACAGATCAATACATTTCTGCTAGCTAATGGTGGTAAGCTTGGATACTGTCATAGATAGCAGATTCAACCGGTACATCATGAATGTATAATTAATAGCAGCAGCAGTTTATCCAAAAAGATAGTTTAGATCAACAAAAAACTAAAAGAATTCAAAGACAGCTAACAAAAACAATTGATCCTGGAGATTCCTGGAGAACAAAATTTAACAGCAGTAGTAGGTGCCACCTACTACTACTTTGTCACCGTGGCAAAAAAAAAGTGCAAGTGCAGATTCAGCATATGAAGCAGCCATGTCTGAAATTAAAGATGAATTCTTCAATATTGTCACATGACACTTGTACTGCTGCTGATAACATTATTTTGATATTCATCAGTAGCACTAATTTATCACTTGATGACCTTTATGGTTCTTTACTGTTAAAGAATGTCTTTCTTTTTTTCTGAACATTGCTTTGCTAGCAAGTGTACCCTGTGATTGTTTATTTAGAGAAGTAGGGCAAGTGTTCATGTCAAACCACACTAAAATCAGTGATCTGACATTCTAGGTCAAAATGTTCATCCATGAGCATTTTAAACAGCAGTTGCTATTACAATATATATTTTTAAAGGGGTGGCATCAATTAATAAGGTAATGCTGTGGTGCACATGTTTATAAATATGGCACATGTTCTAAATAGAACAAAACTAAGCTAATTGTTAAGAAGTTAAGCTACTCTATAAGTCCTCATAATCTTGTGTAAACCTGCTACTCTGTTACAATAACTGAATTATTGATTGATGGTTAATGATTGATGAATATAAGTTTCAAGATGATTTCAAAACTTTTTTCTTGATGTGTTCACTTTTGCGACCAGCAAAAGTATTTTTTACTTAATAACTAAAAAATACTTTTTTACTTTTACTTATATAGAATCTACTTTTTATTTTTACTTATAGATATACTTTTTATTATACTTTTTATTTTTACTTTGATTCTTTTAAAGCAGTGCTTTTACTTTTACTTTAAGTATTTTTAAGATGTAGCAACCTTGAGCACACTTAATTAGTTTCTTTGCACGCCTTATTATTCTATGTTTAGCCTTGTTATTTTTTAAATTAAAGGGTTAAGACAAAGGTTCTCAAACAACAACAAAAAAGTTTTTTTTACTGTAGTTGCACCTGTAGTTAGATGTATGACCAGTAACATAAGTAACATGCATATGGGTAACAGATATTTTGGGAAACAATGTGTTATAATGGTATGATTTTAACAAGTTTTGAATGATTATGTATAAATTAGGTAAATTATAATTATGTGATAATTAAGTAAAAATATATATTGTGAAAATTAACAAAGTACATTAGTGTGAAGGTGTTATGTAGACAATATTTAAGGATTTAAGCTTGTTAGGAATCCATTCTGGAATGTGAAGTATTGTGAAGTTAGCTTGTGAGATAATCTTTATGGTGGTGAGTAGATCTGCAAAAATGTGAGCTCTATTTTGTCTGTTTAGTTTTTAATCGATACTGCTAAAAAGTTAAATATCATTAACTCTGGTTTGTTAATAACACCAGCAATAACAAATTTGATTTTTTGTACTTTTTCTTAAAGTCTTTAAAAACAGTTTACTGTAGTTTAATGGGCTCTAACAAAATAGTTACATCAGTATTATTCAATATTATTTTGAAGATTTGAATCTAGACTTTGCTTCAACATGGTAAGTCACGTGGCCTTTGAAAGGTCAAATAACATTAAAAATATATATATCACTACATGTTTATCACACTTTGTATCTATCGCACTACATGTCATTCACTCTAGAAGCATGCACTCTAAATGACGAACAAATATAGAAAGTTTTTGCAGTTGTATATTTTATTAAATTACTATTTGCTTTAAAATATTTATATAATATCAAAAACAATTTTTAGAGAAAATGTTTTTTTTCCTAAACATGCTGGCATTTTTAGTTATTTTTAATTTTATTTTAGCAAGTGAGGGAGATAAAAAATCAATATTTGCACAAGACATGCGTGGTGTACTATCTCAGGAAGTTCCTGAGTGGAAAAAAGCTACATTTGGTGGAAAGGGTGGCTCTTATGGCAGAAAAACAACAATGAGCATTGTGGAGCAACGTCAAAGTCTACCAATTTATAAACTTAGAGATGAGTTAGTCAAGGTAAGGTTTTTAAATTTTCAGCTTTGTTTATTTTTGTTTTTTATTGTTCTTTAAAGCTTTTTTTTAACTTATTTTATTAATAGTTTTTCTTTTGTGGATCAATTTTGTTTTTCAGGCTGTTTCTGACAACCAAATACTTATTGTGATTGGGGAAACTGGATCTGGAAAGACCACCCAGATAACTCAGTATCTTGCTGAAGAAGGTTATACTACCCTAGGTGCTATTGGTTGTACACAACCACGTCGTGTAGCTGCTATGTCTGTGGCAAAAAGAGTATCTGAAGAAGTTGGTTGCAGACTTGGTCAGGAAGTAGGATATACAATTCGATTTGAAGATTGTACTAGTCCTGAAACCAAGATAAAATACATGACAGATGGTATGTTGTTAAGAGAATGTCTATTAGATGGTGAACTTTCAACATATTCATTAATAATGTTGGACGAGGCACATGAACGAACAATACACACTGATGTCTTGTTTGGACTTTTAAAAAAAGCTATTTCTAAACGCAAAGACTTAAAACTTATAGTTACCTCTGCAACATTGGATGCAGTTAAATTTTCTACATACTTTTTTGAAGCTCCTATTTTTACTATTCCTGGTCGTACTTATCCTGTTGAAGTTTTATATACAAAAGAAGCTGAGACTGATTATCTTGATGCAGCTTTAATCACTGTTATGCAGATTCATTTGACAGAACCACCAGGAGATATTCTTGTTTTTTTAACAGGTTATTTTTAAAATTCAGTTTATCCATGTTAAGCTGCAAAAAAGTAGTTTCTGGTGCTACCATCAACATCAACTTTGTTCTTGACTTGTTTCTAGTTTCTCTTATTAACTTTTAAACATTGAAACTTGATTGTATAATATTTATGTCATTAAAAGTTTTCAATTTGACTTATTTTCAATAAACTATTTTCTGTGTTACTCTAGGTCAAGAGGAGATAGATACATCATGTGAGATTCTTTATGAACGAATGAAGTCTTTAGGCCCTGATGTACCAGAACTTGTTATTCTACCTGTGTATTCATCGCTTCCTAGTGAGGTGCAAACAAGAATATTTGATCCTGCACCTCCTGGCAGTAGAAAGGTTACTATTATTTATATTTAGAAAAGACTGATTTTCTTCATTTTTTATCTACTAATTTTTCCATTCCTTTTTAGGTTGTTATTGCTACAAATATAGCTGAAACTTCTCTTACTATAGATGGTATTCATTATGTGGTAGATCCAGGTTTTGTAAAGCAAAATGTATACAATTCAAAAAGTGGTATTGATCAGTTAGTTGTCACACCAATATCTCAAGTTAGATTACTAGAATTTTAATATAAATCATTTTATAATTATCATTTTAAAAAAGG